GTGAGCCAGGTGACTAAATCCCTAACTCTGGCAATTGCTTTTGCTAATATAGCTGGAGGAAAACAGTTGCTGAACCTGGAAAGCAGGATCAAGGAAATATTAACCCTCTGACATCAAGAATCATAATTCACAGAACAAAGTACATAGCCTTAAGGACACAACAGCAACTGTTGGCATTAAGAGGTTAGGACAACATAGTTAATTCAGTAACATACAGGATTAACCCTAAACTTGAAACCAAACAGAATACAGATTGACTGTACCTTTTTATATGTATTGTTGTATGTTAGTGACTAACAACCTGATTCAAAGCCCTTTGAAGTTGATGAAAAGGTTCCCATTGACTTCACAGAGTATTGGATTGGGTACTTAATCTTCACAGAAGTATTAATTTTGCTAGATCCACGCGTTTATAAATTTTGCAAATAATTGTAATAGCGAAGATCTACATTTTACATCATTACTGGTACTGATATAAGTATATTTGAAAAAGTCTATTAGTATAAGCTTTATTACTACACTTTTTTTTTTGGTAGGAGAATTGTCCTGCCTGCAGCCAACTCCCTCAAAATATAGAGTTCCCTCCATCAGCAAAACTGCAGGAGGTCTTGGATTATTTGACAAATAATGCTTCATTGTAAGTGTGCAACTATTCTGATTTCTTTGATTAGTTTTTAGAAATTTGAAGTTTGCAGCATGTTAAAATTTGATTTTTCAAACTGCATTTTATCCTGATAGCTCTCATATTTTACTTTCATGTTTTTCATACAGGCAAATGAAATCTCCAGCAATCACAGCAACTGTGTATGGGGGGAATAAAACACTCTATTTACAGGTGATCAGTACTTGCTTGCTTTTGCTTAGTTAACTCATTTTCATTTAAGTTTGGCTTGGTTTAATTTAAAAAAAATGTTTTATTTTACAGACGGTAGCTTCAATTGAAGAACGAACAAGGCCAAATCTTTCTAAGACACTGAAAGGTATTGCCTAATTGAGTCACGCAGAATATCAAGACATACATATAAATCAGAGATATGATTACTCAGTTTTAGTGCTGTTTTGTTTAATGCCTCTGTAGAACATATTGCACATTTTGCAATAATAGGAGCACTTTAAGCAACAAATCTTTAAAATTACATATAAATTAAATAAAATTAGTATCTGATGAAGTCATTTTAAGATATGTGCAAATATGCAGATTGTTGGATTGTCATAAAACGAATGGATTTGATTTATTTGTATCTGGGATTATTATTCTAGGGACCGAATGGCTAGGTAGCAGTTCTGCTGAAGACCTAGGGGTCACAGTGGACGAGAAGCTGGATATGAGTCAACAGTGTGCTCTTGTTGCCAAGAAGGCTAACGG